TCAGAAAGCCAGATAGAAGAGAGATCTTAAAACTTTTAAAGCTTATTTTATTGAAGCGATTTTTTTTTCAAAGCCAAATTCATTTAACTTCTTGTGTTTAATATTTTGGAAACTGGGTTATTGGATTACGGTTAGGGGCTATACAACTTCACTGATTTTTCATGAAGGTCAGATTGTACTAAACTAATCTCTACCAGATTATATGATGAAATGGCCGTTAAACGCAAATGTTTCTAAGCCTTATTTTGAGGGAGGGGAGAGCTTATCCCTTATCCTAGAAATTGTGAACAAAATTAAAATCGAATGCTTATTTTTCATAGATTGTTAATAATAACGGATCATAGCTAATTCTTATGTCTGTTACTAAGTTCAATTTGTTATTCTAGTTGAACATTAATAGTGAATATAATAAATATTTTGATTTTCAGGAAAGATTCCTTGTTTCTTCCTTTAGTTTGCTCCTTATTTTGAGATTTTTCAAACCACAGCATTTTTCTCTGAACCATGCTTTGCCTATATGATTATATTTGCAGGAGCTGTTACAGATTAATCATTTTTGGTATGCTCCTTCTTTTATGAGAAGTGTTTGTTTAACTTGCCATATATAAACAGACGTTTATTTTAAGGATTAACTTTCATGTGAAAAACTGCCTCCTAGTTAAGTCTTTTTAATCACATCTCTAGAGGAAAGCAAGCTAGCTTCAGATGTTTTTCTCTTTCTTTTCTTTCTTCAAGAATTTAAAATTGACTGTTTGTATATTATAACATAGAGAAGTTTGTAAATGCATGTATTCTCCTCAGCCTCACACACTGCAAATAAATCCATGCTTGTGCAAGATTTAAAGGACATAAAGTTATATAGTAAAACACAGATAAATTATTTGCCTTGAAAGTGACTATGTAAGGAGCATCTTTAAATTATCAATAGCCATAAAACCAGGATAGATAGACATTTTCCTGTTCCTCTGACTATCTCTCCCCAAACCCTCACCCAGGGAGTACACCTCGGGGTCCATATATACTTTTTTGCGTTGTATTTGCTGTTTTTTATATGCAGTGAAAAGAAGCAGACCTGCTGAATGCTGGAAACCATAAAATCATTTATAGCCATTCTTTCCTGTTTTCTTTCCTAATTCTATCTTCGTTTTAAAAGACAAAGTTATATACCATTTTACACTTTAAAAGTTGTTTGGTTTAACATTTATGGAGGCCTTAAAGTGTCAGCTAACGTGTTATTTGGTGATATTATTAAAATACGTAGGACATGGTCTTCGCTCCATGAAGGTCACAGCCTGGTGGGAACACAAACATGCCATTCAGTTGTCATAGGTGCTGTTATACAGGTAGGAGAAGAACACATTCGAGAGACAAAGGTGGGAGTGTTCACTTCCTCCTAGGGGGTGGGAAAGTCTTCCAGAGGCGGTGACACTAGATCAGAATTGAAATGATTGGGCGCTTTCAAGACAGGCGATTGAGGAGGGGGCATTTAGGGCAGAGGGAGGAGCCTCTGGCAGGAGGGGCAAGCGAGAAGCTTGGACAGCATCATGCAGGGGTCTTCTCTGATACATATGGAAGTTTGGACTTTATGCTGCAGGCAAAAAAAAAAAAAAAAAAGATACAAATGAATTCATTTACAAGACAGAAAAGGAACCACAGACCTAGAAAACAAACTTATGTTTGTTACCAAAGGGGAAAGAGGGAGATAGGATAAATTAGGAGTGTGGAATTAAAATATACATACTTCTGCGTACAAAACAGACAAGCGCAGGGAAGTATACTCAATATTTTGTAATAACCTTTCAGGGAAAAGAACCTGAAAAAGAATGTGTGTGTGTGTGTGTGTGTGGGTGTGTGTGTGGGTGTGGGTGTGTGTATAACTGAATCACTTTGCTGTATACCTGAAACTAACACAGCATTGTAAATCAACTATACATTGATTAAAAAAAAAAGATAGAACTAAGGAAGGATTTAAGCAGTGGCATAATGTAATCAGGTTTTCATATTAGAAAATTACTCTAGTAACCATGTGAAGAAATATTAGATTATTTATGCTTTTTAGAAACAGCCTGATAGAACATAAGTAGACTAAACATTAACTTTTCTTCCTCATTGCCTTCAACAGAACTTTACAAAAATCTTAAAACACCCACTTTTATAATTTGAATTGCCAAAAGATGTGTTCTCTGGATGAGTTATATTTTTATAGCATTTCAAGACTCTGTGATCAAGTTTAAGAAGATAGACTTTCTACCCTGGGTAACTTTGGATGCTGCAGCAGGGCAGCTCACCACTTAAGTCTTCCTTATTAATACCCTTTTCTCTCGCAATCTTTTGCATCTGGTTGCCCAAGGCAAATGCTTACACTTGCCCTTGGTTTTTTTCTCTCTTGCCCTTCACGTCTATCAGCGAGGCCGGTAGATTCTGCCTTCAAAATAACGTCTCAAATTCCTCTACTTCTGTCGGTCTCAGTGATGCTACAACCTTAGTTCTATCCTCCCTGGTCTCTCCCTGGGACTCCTGCAGCAGCCTCCTAATTGGTCCTCCACTGGATCTCACCCATTTCCCCATTCTCACTGTCCCGCTTCAGACAGTTCACTAGCTTTTTGCACTTTGAATAAAAAGCAAGCTCCCCTCTGTGGCCAGCATCGCCTGGCTGTTGTCTCCCTTAACCTCATCTCTTGACACTCTCCTTCTGCTCCAGCTGTTATTTGCTCTCACAGAGGCCTGCAAACACTTATTCACTTCTTCCAAGAAGCTCTTATAATTTGGTGCCTGGCAAATACTCCGTGAACTTAATAGCATAACGATATCATAATAACACTTCTGCCATTTATTAAATATCTTCTGTAACCCAGACAGTGTGCTAAGTGCTCTCCAGGCATTATCGTATAATTAAATTAGATGCAACAAGCTTGTGAAGTTGGCGTTATTATTTCCATATTTTAGGGGAGGAAACTGGGCACAGAGAGCTGAAGTAACTTACGCAGATTTATACTGCTAGCGTGTAGCGGAGCCTGGCTTGAAGTCTGTCTGATTCTAAGTCGGGCTCTTTGGTACTGAAGTTTCAAAAGTATTTTGTTATCATTAAATTTTAATGCTCTCACAATTCCTGGAGGACCATCTGAGAGCAGGCTCTAGAGGGAATCTTTTAATGAAACTGAAAGTAAACATGAGTGTGACCTAACTACCATATCAGAGACAACAAACTTTTCTCAATATTTTATGTCTTGTTGATAATGAAAGACAGTATGTGTAAAAGTTGGAAATAAACTCTGGAGTTCAAACAGACATGGGTTTAATCTCAGCATCTTGTATTCATTCATATGGATCTCCATATCATATGTGCCAGATAATGTTCTAGGTATTTGAGACACATCAGTGTGCAGTCCAGTGGGATGGATATAAAATGTTGGTTCTGTAAGCTGTTTTTGCCCTGGAGATTCACTGTAGCATTACTGCTCTTCTGTGAATTCAGGATAGATGTGATCCATCTTGGACCCCCATCCCAAGGGGATCTATTTGAGTCAATCCCATGACATATTTCCTAAGGACAGTCTCATAGGAAGGCTGTAAGTTTAGTTTGCTATAAATAAAGTGTCCTTCCTTCTTCCTTTTTTTTTTCCTTCCAGTTGAAATGAAACATTAAATTTAACTTTATTAGATATAATAAATTCAGGGAACTTATATTCTAATAGGGGTAGCACAATAACTAAATAAGTAAATTACATTATACATTAGAAGATGGAAAGTACTTTGTGTGGGGAAGTAAATAAGATCTGGATGGGGGAAAATATGGAGAGCATGTGCAATAGGAGGTCAGTGAGGTGGGTCTCGTCAAGAAGGTGAGAGACTTGAAGGAGGTGAAGGAGTTGATCAGATGGATATTTGAGGGAAGAACAGTCCAGGAGGAGAGAATAGGTAGTGTCCAGTCCTAAGGGACGTGCATGCACAACCACTTAAAAGCAAAGCATCGTTGTGAATGGAGGTGACCAAGTGAAGGAGAGATACTAGATGAAGTCAGAGGGGATGTTGTTGGTGGCAATAAAATGAACTTGTATACATAAAGCACTTAGCACAGGGTCTAGCCCACATTCCCAGAGCCCCTGCCCACCTCTTCCAGCCACAGCTCTTGCTGCTCCCTGTTACAAGCTCTACCCTGTGTTTATAACCAGAAACTCTGTGAAGATTCCCCAAATATCTGTGCTGTTTTATACCTTTCTACTTCTGTACACACATAAAATACCCTTCTCCCACTCCTTATCATTCTGATAAACTCCTTCAAGACCCACCTAAGGCTTTCCTCTGGGAGGACAACATCACTGACTCCCTCTGAGGCAGAGCTTCCTTCTTTGGGTTGCCATGTACCATGCTTTGAGTATGTGTTTGTTACAATAACACATAGCTGATGGTAACTGACATTTAATGAGCACTTAATATGTGCTATGCAGTCAATACCTTTACGTGTTTTTAAAATTAATTTCTCACAACAACAACCCTATAAGGTATGTCCTGTTGTCATCCCCATTTTATAGATGAATAAATAAAGCCATGAAGTTTATTGACTTGCCTAAGATCATCCAGCTACTAAGTGGTGGCACCAGGAGTTGATCACAGGTTTCTGGCTCCAGAGCCCATGCCTTCTTAACCATTACATTATACTGCACCTCCACCCTTCCACCACTTTACTATATACAAGTATATATGTACTTATATATGTACATGTACTCATCACACTGTATTGAAAAGTATTAGTTTTGTGCATGTGTCTTCCATAGTGTTTATGACTGCTTTGAGTCACCATGTTGAATTCACCTTTGCTCTTTGGGACTTTGCACATGTGTTCGCTTGTTGAATGGGGAGAATAAAATATTCTCTCATGTAATTTGCAAAGCATGAGAAATAATATTCAAAATGTTAATGATAGTGTGTCATTAATTTTGAAATTTATTTGGTTTTGAATTTCATTTTAATGATGTTGTTGTGTTTCTGCTTCTCCCTAGACCAGTATTAAAGAGGGACAGCTGTTGAAGCAAACCAGTTCTTTCCAAAGATGGAAAAAGCGATATTTCAAACTTCGAGGTCGTACACTTTATTATGCAAAGGACTCAAAGGTAATTCAAGAGAATACTAGTTGCAAGCCCTCGAAGGCTGTAGATGGAATTGAAATTTTGGTTCTATAAACTGTTTTTGTCTTGGGGCTCACTATCATTACTGCTCTGATATAAATTCCATATAAATGTGATTCATCTTGGACCAAATCCCAAGGGGGTCTATTTGAGTCAGTTTCATGCCATTTCCCCTAAGGACAATCTTATAGGATGGTCCTAGTGCAGTTTTCTTTCTTTCTTTTTTCCTTCCAAGTAAAATGAACAGTTAAGTGTAACCTTATTATATATAATAAACTCTAAATTTGGGTTCCCCCCTTTCTTGCTACTTTTTACCCCATACATTTTTTCCTGAAAATGAGAGAGAGAATTGCTGTAGTTGCTAAGAGTTCATACTCTGGTTTCAGACAAGAGTTTGTATCCCAATTCTAGCACATTCCAGTGGAGTGGCTGTGGACAGCATGTTGTTGAGAGGAAGCTTAAATGAAATTACATACATGAAGTGCTTACATAATACCTGGCACAAAACAATCACTCAATTATGCTAACATTTAGAAATAAAAATCACAGTGAAATAAAATCAAGGCTTAAATAATTTTTATATACTAATTGAATGAAATAAGAATGATGTAGCTTTGGAAGAAAAAAATTGTAATGATGAGCTTCCATTTAAAATGGATATTTTACTGTTCCTTCAAAAATAAACATTAAGGTGGGTACCCTCAGCTGGCACTGGAGCCCCACCAAAACAGCCCCCTGCCCTGTTAGACCTGGTGGACACCTTTGGCCAACACTAGTGTCCCCCTAAAGTGGCTCCTGCCCCAGGGGTCAGCCCCACACACCAGAGTACCCACAACAGTTGCAACTGGGCCTTGCAGCCAGCCACACTGGGGTCCATCCTTGCGTACAAGCACCCCCTCAGCAAGTGCAGCCGAGCCACAACAGGAGGACACATGCAGCCCACAAAGGGGACACTCCTGGAGCATCTGGGCCTGGTAACCAAGGGAGACCATGCTACTGGGCCCCACAGGATACCTTCTACACAAAGCCACTCTCTCAAGACCGAGGGACGTAGCTGATCTACGCAATATGCAGAAACAAACACAGAAAGTTAGGCAAAATGAAGAAACAAAGGAATATGTTCCAAATGAAAGAACTAGACAAACCCTCAGAAATAGATTGAATGAAATGGAGATAAGCAAACTTCCAGATAAGGTGTTCAAAGTAATGTTCATAAAGATACTCACTGAACTCAGTAGAAGTATAGAAGAGTGAGAATTTCAACAAAGAGATAGAAAATAATAATGGAAATGAAAAATACACCAGAGGAAACCAACAGCAGATTAGATGATGCAGAAGAGAGGACCAGTGGTCTAGAAGATAAGGTAGTGGAAATCACCCAATCAGAGCAGTAAAAAGAAAAAGAAACCAAAAAATGGATAGTTTAAGGGACCTCTTGGGCAACATCAGGTATACCAACATTCCAACATTCACATTATAAGGGTCCCAGAAGGGGAAGAGAGAATGAAAAGGACAGAAAACCTATTTGAAGAAATATGGCTGAAAACTTTCCTAACTTGGTGGAGGATACAGGCCCAGGAAGTACAGAGAGACCCAAACAAAGTGAACCCAAAGGGACCCACACCAAGACACATTATAATTAAAATGCCAAAATGTTAAGCTAAAGAGAAAATCTTAAAAGCAACAAGAGAAAAACAACTAGTTACATACATGGGAGTCCCCATAAGACTGTCAGCTGACTTTTCAGCAAAAACTTTACAGAAAGGAGTGGCACAATATATTCAAAGTACTGAAAGGAGAAAACTTATAACCAAGAATATTCTAACCAGCAAGGCCATCATTCAGAGTTGAGAGAGAGAGAGAGTTTCCCAGGCAAGCAATAGCTTGTCTACTTTATAGTTCATCACCACTAAACCAGTCTTACAAGAAATGTTAAAGAAATTTAAACAGAAAAGAAAAAATTATAACTAGAAATATGAAAATTATGACAATATCTCATCAGTAAAGGCAAAAATATAGTAAAGGTAGTGGATCAGCCACCTGTGTAGCTAGTAATAAGGTTAAAAAACAAAACTAGTAAAACCATATATATCTACAATAATTAGTTAAGGGATACACAAAGTAAGATAACATCAAAAACATAAAATGGTGGATGGAGTAAAAATGTAGTGCTTTTAGAACATGCTCAAACTTAAGCAACTGTCAACATAAAATAGACTGCTATATACAGAGGTTGTTGTATAAGGACCTCATGGTAACCACAAACCAAAAACTGATAACAGATATACAAACAATAAAGAGAAAGGAATATAAACATAATACTAAAGAAAATCATCAAATCACAAGGGGAGGGCTTCCCTGGTGGCGCAGTGGTTGTGAGTCCGCCTGCCGATGCAGGGGAAACGGATTCGTGACCCGGTCCGGGAAGATCCCACATGCTGCGGAGTGGCTGGGCCCGTGAGCCATGGCTGTTGAGCCTGCGCGTCCAGAGCCTGTGCTCCGCAGTGGGAGAGGCCACAGCAGTGAGAGGCCCACATACTGCAAAAAAAAAAAAAAAAAAATCACAAGGGGCGAGAGCAAGAGAAGAAGGGAACAGAGAAGAACAACAAAGATAAACAGAAAACAATTCACAAAAATGGCAATAAGTACATACTTATCAATAATTACTTTAAATCTAAATGGACTAAATGCACCAATCAAAAGACACAGCATGGCTGAATAGATACAAAAAACAAGACCCATATATATGGTGCCTACAAGAGACTCACTTCAGATCTAAAGACACACACAGACTGAAAGTGAAGAGATGAAAATTATATTCCATGCAAATAGAAATGAAAAGAAATATGAGATAGCAATACTTATATCAGACAAAATAGACGTTAAAACAAAGACTGTAACAAGAGACAAAGAAGAGCATTACCTAATGATAAAGGGATCAATCCAATAAGAAGATATAACACTAGTAAATATATATATATGCCCAGCAGAGGAGCACCTGAATATGTAAACCAAATATTAACAGACATAAAGGAGAAACTGACAGTAATACAATAATAGTAGGGGACTTTAACACCTCATTACATCAATGTAATATAATCATTAGATCATTCAGACAGAAAATCAATAAGGAAACACTGGCCTTAAATGACACATTAGACTCGATGGGACTTAATAATATATACAGGACATTCCACCCCATAACAGCAGAATATACATTCTTTTCAAGTGCACATGGAACACTCCAGGACAGATCTTTTATTAGGCTACAAATCTCAATAAATTTTAAAATACTGAAATTGCATCAAGCATCTTTTCTGACCACAACAGTATGAGACTAGAAATCAACCGCAAGAAAAACTGGAATAAAACTCAAACACATGGCGTCTAAGCAACAAACTCAGTAACAGCCAATGGGTCACTGAAGAAATCAAAGAGGATATCAAGAAATATCTTCAAACAAATTAAAATGGAAACACAGTGTTCCAAAATCTTTGGGACTCAGCAAAGGCAGTTCTAAGGGGGAATTTGATAGTAATACAGGCCTACCTCAGGAAACAAGAAAAATCTCAAATAAACAATCTAACCTTACACCTAGAGGAACGAGAAAAAGAAGAATAAACAAGTCCAGCGTTAGTAGAAGGAAGGAAATAGTAAAGTTACGAGCGGAATTAAATGAAATAGAGACTAAAAAACCCCACAAAAACCTAAGAGCAGGTTCTTTGAAAAGATAAATGAAATTGATAAACCTTTATCCAAAGTCATCAAGAAAAAAAGAGAGAGAGCCAAATAAATAAAATCGGAAATGAAAGAGAAGTTACAACTGACATCACAGAAATACAAAGGATCACAAGAGGTTACTATGAAAACTATATACCAACAAATTGGACAACCTGGGAGAACTGGATAAATTTCTCAAAACATACAATCTTCCAGGACTGAATCAGGAAGAAACAGAAAATCTGAACAGACCAATTATTCGTAATGAATATAATGAAATATTAGCCATAAAGAATGAAATCTTGCCATTTGCAACAACATGGATGAACATAGAAGGTGTTATGCTGAGTGACATAAGTCAGACAGAGAAAGACAAATACCGTACAATCTCACTTACGTGTGGAATCTAGAAAACAAAACAAATGAACAAACAAACCAAAACAGAAAGAGACTTACAGATACAGAGAACAAATGGGTGGTTGCCAGAGGGGAGGGTTAAATGTCATGGGGATTTAATGTATAGTATACGGAATATAATTAATAATATTGTAATAATTTTGTATGATGACAAATGGTTACTAGACTTATCATGGTGATCATTTGATGATGTATTTGATTGTCAAATTACTATGTTGTGCTCTTGACACTAACATAATATTGTATGTCCAACTATACTTCAATTTAAAAATAGTAAGATTTATTGTTACTGTGCCAGTAGGATAATTGATCATTTCTATATTAAAAAACACGTGTTTGTGATATAATTAGTAGAGTTATACACCAGGAGGTTAAAAAAATAAATAAATAAACAAACATAATTCTTAGTTTATGCAGCTGTGGAAGTAATAACAAAATAGAATAATCTTATTTTAAAAGTCATTATGTTCATGGTTATCCCTGATCTGGCTCCATTCTGACCTCTCACATTTATCTCCAGACAACACTGACCACTCGATAGTCTACAGCCTTGCCCCATGTTTTCGATCCCCAGGATGATTTTTCCTCTATCTCCACTTAAAGAAATTCCCTATTTTCTTTAAGGTCCCCCTAAAATTGTCTTCATTCCATTATTCACAAGAGAAAGCATTTGTTTTCTGCTGTGACCTTCCATAGCATTTTGTAGTGTCTGCTCTTCCACTTTTAATAGTCTCCCTTACTTAAAACAAGTTGTGTCTATTTCAGCTCCCGTGCTAGATTATAAATTCCTTGCAGTCAGGGAACAAGTCTTACGGTCAGATTGGTTGGGTTGAAGTAGAGTTGCATAAACCCCTGGAGATCTTGGGGGGTGGTAAAAGTTACTAGATAAGGAAGCCTCTTTTTCTAGCAGTCCTAGAGGAGTGGTGTTATACCGGCCTCACTGGAAGAACATTGAATGACTGTGAACAAGGACCAACTCACTCAGAGTGGGAAGGATACATTTATTTACTAGAATTTCCTAATTTTTCAATTGTCCATTTTAAAGATTTTAGTTCTATGGAGATTTTACCACTGAAACTTTTTTGATTAAAATCACTTCTAAGCTTAAAAAAAAAAATGTTGGAGCCTGCAAAAAAATTAAATAAATAAAACTTCTTTTAAGAGTATAAAAGAAACGTCATCTTATATTTGCAGAGCACATGCACCATCTCATTTGAACACATTTACAGATGAGGAAGGTCACGTTCAAAAAGTTCAGTAACTGTCCGTGATCTGAGCCAGGACTAGTTCTTCTCATTGTGGGGAGTGTGTGAGTATGTGTGTATGTCATACACTGAGTAGTAGGTTTCCCATAAACGATGCTTCTGGAGAGCACAGAGCATTTTTCAATGAAACAATATGCCAGGGGAGTTCTTTAAAGTCCTTTACAGTTTGTTAGGTTTGCACTTGACATGTTTGTGTTCTTTTTCATTAACAGTCTCTGATATTTGATGAAGTTGACCTCTCAGATGCCAGTGTAGCTGAAGCAAGCACAAAAAATGCTAACAACAGCTTCACGGTATGGTTATACTCTGGTAACTCCCCCCTCAAAAGTTATAGAATGATCTTTCGTGAGCTTGTACTGAACGCCCTCTTTAATTGCCGGCTGTGTGTCACACGTGTTGGAGTTCTCACCAAGAACAGTAAACTTGATAAGTACGTTGTAGACGCTAACACCCAACGTGTCATGATTGTTTGGGTCAATAAACCAATGTATTAAATGTATTTTTTTAAAGTATTTATATAGTTTTCTTTTTAGACCTTCTAATTTTAGTGCCTTAAAATTTTCACCTCCCTTTAATGTTCAACTAATTCCGCTGTTCTTAAATATTCAAAAAGTTTGGTTTTTTACTTTCAATCTTAAAAGTAATATTTTCTCCTTTCAATCTACAGTTACTCTAGTTGCTGTTGTTCAGGCCTTTGTTTCTTCTCACTTAGGTAATTCATTTGGCAGCTATTTAAAGAAGTGTCCTCTGTTCCAGTTAATTTTTTTCCAATTGCAAATCACATTGCTTAAAAGACCTCACTGGCTTGCCACCGCCTGTCAGGTTGCATCTGTAACTCCGCTGTAAAGTCCTGTAAAATCCTTCCTCAGCATTCTAGCATACTGATAATTATTTGTCCTTATACATCCCACCAGTCCAGCAGTTCTGTCTGAACCTAATGCTTTTTCCATTCCCTCTGACTTAAATGATCCCTCCTCCATCAACAGCTGTTGAAATTCTACCAATTCTTCAAAGCTTATCTCAGCTATCCCATACTTTTTCTACTTCTTTGATTACAAAAATATGAATTAAATATGAATTGAGGATCCACCATTGCTAGGCACTCGTGCTAATAAACACAAGGGATTCAGAGAAATAAAAAATATATATATATATATATATATATATATATATCACTTCTCTCAAGATATTCATGGTGTAGTTCAGTGAAGTTCATCTGGGATTCTTTTTCTTAAAAAAATATTTAAATATTTATTTATTTATTTGGTTGCACCAGGTCTTCCTTGCAGCAGGTGGGCTCCTTAGTTGCAGCTCCCGGGCTCCTTAGTTGTGGCTCGCCAGCTCCTTAGTTGCAGCACGTGGGCTCCTTAGTTGCAGCATGCATGTGGGATCTAGTTCCCTGACCAGGGATCGAACCCAGGCCCCCTGCTTTGGGAGCGTGGAGTCTTATCCACTGTGCCACTAGGGAGGTCCCTGGGATACTTTTACAGCTACATTTTCCTTAGGTCCTCTCAGGCGCATTGTTCTTGCTAGGTCGCTGACCCCTTCCACACTCCTAGCCCCTGCCCTAGGAAGCTTCCGCTATGGACAGCAGTGTTTTGTGTTCATCCCCTAGGCGTGCCAGGGCAGGGAGGACAGACAGATAAACAAATACAGAGCAGTGCCATGATGGAGGTAAGCACTGGTAAGGGTAGGGGATGGAGAAGAAACAAATGAGTTCGGATTTAGTCTTATTGATTTATGGGCATGTGCGATAATTCATGCTGTGAATATTCCTCCCCCACCCCCTCCCCAGGGACCGTTGAGTTTGAGAAGAGAGAGGACAGCCAAGAATAGAATCCTGGGAAAAAGTTAAAATGTAAGGTTTGACCAATAAAGACTGAGAGAGAGCATTCTGAAGTATAGAAGGAACATCAGGAGGCAGTGATATATAAAAAGCCAGTGGAAGGGAGTTTCAAGACGGAAGTTGTTAAACATCAAATGCTGTAGAGAGGTCAAGTCAAAGAAGAAAGGAAAAGTGTCTGTTGAATTTGTGAATCAGGAGGTCATTTGGTCACACTGATGTGAGTAGCTGCAGTGGAGGGTGGCATGCAGTAGGCTACATGGCAAATGCTAAGTGGAAAGGCAGAGAGCGCCAGCACGGACTCCTTGTCCTACAAGTTTGGCGGTTAAAAGAAGGAGTAGGGCTTCCCTGGTGGCGCAGTGGTTGAGAGTCCACTTGCCGATACAGGAGACACGGGTTCGTGCCCCGGTCCGGGAGGATCCCACGTGCCGTGGAGCGCCTGAGCCCGTGAGCCATGGCCGCTGAGCCTGCGCGTCCGGACCCTGTGCTCCGCAACGGGAGAGGCCACAACAGTGAGGCCCGCGTACCAGAAAAAAAAAAAAAGGAGCAGACACGTAGCAACAAGAATGTTTAGGTTTGAAGAGGCAGTTCTGGTTTTGTTGTTGTTGAGGATCTTTTGCTTTGTTTTTAAAATGAATTTTGAGTGTGTCTATATGAAGAGAGGAAAGAATTGTTAGAATCAAAAGCTGAAGCTGCAGGAGAGAAAGGGAATAATTGTTGGAGCGTGATGGCTGAGTAAACTGCAGGGGCTGGGACCCAGAGCACAGGTTAAGAGATTAGCCTTGAATAGGAGACAGAAGGCTTATGGAAGTAGGTGTGGGCAGGAAGTTCATATATTTCAAAACCAAACACTACTCTTTTCTCAGTGAAATTGCACATTAGGTCATACGCTATGAATAAGACTTTAGGAGGGTTTGGAGGAGCTTCTATAGAAAATAAGAATCGAAACTGAACAGGGACCAGTAGAAGATTACTAGGTAGTAGATAGTGTCCACCAGAGATTGGAGATAAGTAATGTTCTTAATTCCTGGGCCTATAGCATTTTCTTAAAGATAGGAGTAAAGAAAAACAACTAGATTGGCCCAGGATTGATGATTTATAGGGCATACTGGACAGAAAGATAAAAAGGGATTGTTGGATGTTTGAGGGATCAGTAACTGATCCATCTTCCCCCTCTGAGTTCTCGGTTTTTGAGAATGGAGCATAAGGAATATGGGATGACTTTATTAATGGCTGAACAGGATCCAGTAACCACTAAATACAGAGCTTCTGATAAGTTGTTGGAGGCCGGAGGGCAAAATGTTGCTTATTCTTCCTTCCTCCCTGGTGAAGGTCAGGTAAGGCGATTAACCTATCAGATTAACCACTTGTCTTCCCTGGGAAGTGAGCAATAGTTTTCTCCCCTCCGTGGAGACTCGTGGTGGGGTTGTGGATAAGGGGTTCTCCCCGACAAGGATCTAGAGTTTAGTCTGAGTGAGGGTTCCGAAATTTAAGATTTGGGAGAGGTTATTCAAATCCTTCGTACAGCTCTTTCTTGGACTTCCAACTGCATGCAGTCTCTCCTTTTGTACCTTCTCATAGAACTTACTATATTCTGCCTTGTGTTTGGCTAAGTACTTATGTTTCTTATAACCTTCTTGAGGATAGGGACACTGTTATACATTTTTATCTCATAGTACCTTATCCATAAGTATTTGTTGATTTTAATTAATAAGATGGAAGTTCATTTGGAGCATGAGGAGACTTTTTCGTTGAAATATTTTCAAGAAATTTCCACTGTTTCACTCAACCAAACTTCGTTTCTGAAGTTTGTTGGACGAGAAATGCGAGACTAAACTGTTAGGCAGATTGCTTAGAGGTTTATAGCAAATCAATTTGGTAGAACTTTCCAGGGTATAAAATGGAATAAGAGGTATGTTTTCAACCAGTAATTGACAATCCTCCCTATCTTTAAATATTTAAATGTTCCACCTTCCTGGGTTCCAGTGACTGCTACTCGTGGTGTTATTTTGGCCAGTTCGTGTCAGAGGTTAATGATGTAGTTCGGTGGTGTTATGGCTGGGGAATCCAGCGACAGCTGAATTCTGCCTCATTACAGCCACTACACTTTGCCTTGAAGTCCCTGAGGATGATGTATTGACAAGGGATAATAGTAAATGGAAAATCTATAATTAGTAAATGGAAAGTGGAAAAGCTGTGCTTTACCCAAAAACCCAGTGTCAAACTCTGTTAAAATGGGTTCTACAGGGAGTGTTCTAGAGAGCAGGGCAGAAACTGACTTAGCTGCGGAAGTCATTCTGTGGTTATGAGCAAGCACTGAGACTGACTGAGCTTCCAGAGGAGGGGACACAGACATCTTGAGGGTGGTGTCAAAGGATCTACAGACATGGTTATACCTACATGATGATTACTTTTAAACAGGCCTATGCTCCCATCCCTGGAGTTAATAATTGTCTTGTTTTTTGGGTTGTCTAAATTGCCTCAGGTATTGTATTAGTTTTCTGTTGTTTCATAACAGATTAGTGGCGTAAAACAATGCCTATTTATTATCTCACAGTGTCTGTTGGTTTCACAGAATAGCTGGATTCCTCTGCTCCAGGTCTCACAATGTCAAAATAAATAGGCATGATAAATTAAATACACACACATGCACGTGCACATACGTATATACTTTTTAATTACCCTACATTGGGCTAATTTTGACCTAAGTTTGCATTTCTGGTTTTACAAGTGTCTTCTGCAGTAGGCAACAACAACAAAACCTACTAACGTTGAATGCATTTTCTGTGATGTTAGGTGTCAGTGATGTGATCGGGGAACAGGAAAGAACAGTTCCAGACAGCCTTATTGGCATTTTATGAGTGTTTAGGTTAATGTTCACAATTAATTTATTTGTAGTTTAAAATTCTACCATGACATTTTCTATGACTGTGGAATCAGTGAAACATTCTTAATTTTTTTTGTCCGTTTTTAATTGTTTTCTTTTATTGATATTTGCATGGTGTTTTGGAGTTTTATTTTCACTTTAACCTTTTTATCTTTAACATACCTCTGTGCTGTATGTGAATGTGCTCTTCTTATATTAAACTAGAGAGAATTGATTTCCCTTTGGTCATACTGTTGCCCCCCAGGGAAGGGATTGCAGATCTCCTGTTTAACTCAGGGCTCTTTCCTATTGCACCGTATTCTTTCCATCTGGAGTCTTTGCCTCTGTTCTCTTTCTTCTCACACCCACAGCTCTCTTTGTCTCTTTCTCACTAATCATGGCATGTCTATCCCCAGCTTTTTTAAAATTTTTCTAATTGCAGAGCTTAAGACTGAAGTCAAACAGCCGGGGTTTGGGTCATGGCTTGGCCGTGTCTAGTTAGGTGACCCTAGACAAATTAGTTAACTGCTATAAATCTCAGTGTCCTTAACTTTAATTGAGGGTAGTAATGGTATCTGCCTCAT